TCATGCATAAAAATGACGTGTATCCTTCTTGAGGGCAGTGATGCAAGCATAAAAAGCTGGCTTTTTATAACTAACCATGAATTTACTGACTCTTCACCGAGATAGAAGCCTGAAACAGAGCCAGAAAACAGCTCTATCTCTTGTGATTTCCTCCTGTCCTTCTACATCTTTGTCTCGATATCACTGTTGTCATTCTTCTAAGCCTCTGCTTGGGCTCCACCGTACAGCACATATCTTTATGGTTTGTCCTGTTGAGCAGGACCTGAAGGTTTGGCTTCGATGTTGGAAGTCTTTGACATTCCGCGCTTGGTACAAACAGTTTGGCCAGCCCCATCCGCACTTCCAGATGATCTGTAAGGAGCTGGGAGGTTCTATCTGGAAAACTGGGAAACCTTGGTCTCATGCTTCCCAGCAGGGTTGTTTAAAGGGTGGGATGGTGTGATACAGGACCTGACGTAGAAGCCTTTAGCATTGCTCACAGAGTCACAGAGCTGGGCATTCCACTGTTTGTCTGCCTGTTGAGTCACTGAAGTTTGGCTGACTTCATCGTTGTGCCTGAAATTGGAAAGTTTTCCTTCCTTCCTTTATTCCTAAACAAATTACATTTTTCTTCATGAACTCACTTAAGAAGATCTGTCTTTGACTCATAGTTCCAACCAATCCTTATTTCCAATCCTAGGAATTCCCACGGTAGAAATTGCCTCAGTTATTAAGTGACAATGCTTTTATTTTTTGAATAAACTTTATTTTGAGGTGACTGTAGAAATATGTTCAGTTGTAAGAAAATACTCAGAGAATCCTGCACCCTTCACTTAGTGTTCTTCAACATTAACATTCTGCATAGCTCTGTAACAATTGCTCAAAGTGGAAATTGGTACTGATAGAATCTTATCAGTATCTTATGGTATCTTATTCAAATATCACTAGTTTTACACATAATCATGTGTACATCTAATTCTTTGTGGTTTTATCACATTTGTAGAATCATGTGATCATCATTATAGTCAAGACTTTGTGACAACTCCATTACCTCATGGAGCTCTTCTCTTGCCCTCTCGTAACCACACCCATTGACCCCAACCCTGTCCCTAATCCCTAAGAAACATGAATTTGTTTTCCATCTCTATAATTTTGAAATTTCAAGAATGAGAAATAACTGGGATCTTATTGCAGGTAACCTTTTGAATTTTGCCTTTTTCATTCAGCTTAATTCTCTTGACATTGATTCAGTCTTTTTAAACATCTACTGTTCATCTCTGATTATGCTGTAAAACAATATTTATGGTGAGGATGTACCACCGTGTGCTGAATTGTTCATCTGTTGAAGGGCACTTTTTTTTTTTTTTCCAATTTTTGATTATAATATGTTAAACTGCTATCAACATTCTTGTGCAGTTTTTTTTTTTTAATGTGTGCTTTTATTTTTCTGGGGTAAGTATTAAGAGTACACTCTCTGGGTCACCTGGTAGTTGCATGTTTAGTTTTATAAGAAACTGCCAAATTATATTCCACATTGGCTGTACCATTTTATATTTCTACGAGAAATGTATTAGAAGTTGACACTTTATTGCATGTTTGCTGGTATCTGATGTGGTTACTATGTTTTATTTCAGCTGTTGTGATAGGTATAGTGATACCTCATGATTCTTTAATTTGCATTTTTAATGGCTAACTGAAAATATTTTCTTTTATTTATTTGCCATCTGTATATTCTCTTTGACAAAAAATATTTTTGTATCTTTTTCTGTTTCACAATTAGATTTTTTTGTTGTTATTATGAAGTTTTCAGTTTTTCTTATATATTCCAAGTACTGGTCCTCTATCAGGTAAATATATAAATATTCTCTACAAATTGGTTGCTTCTCTTTTCATTTGTTTACTGTGAGAGCATTAAAAAAATTTTGATGAAATTCAGTTAATTAATTTTTCCTTTTATGAATTTTGAGTCTGGTGGTAAGTCATTCTTTGCCCAGTCTTAGGTCCTGAAGATTTTCATATATTATTTTCTAAAACACAGTTTTTATTTCATTTTAAAATCTGTGATTGGTTCTGAGTTACTATTACTATAAAGTTTGAGTTTTAGATTTATTCATTTATTTAGCCTGTGAATATCTAGTTACAACTAGCACCAGCCATTGAAAGACTCTCCTTTTTCATTAAATTGGTTTTGTACCTTTGTTAAAAATCAAATATGGTCTGTTTCTGGGCTCTCCAAGCCATTTGTCCTTTGGCCAATGTCAACCACTCTTTTTTTGCCATTAAATTTAATGGTACTTTTTAAGCATACAGTACAGTTACATTTATCTTTGGGATCTTGTACCTTTACTTGATGTATCTTTGTTCTTATTTTTTCTCCATTCCCCTGCCCTCCCTTCACCCCTTCCACCTTCCCTATTTACAGACAATGTTTCCATTTTTTCCTTTTCTCATAATTTTTCTTTTTCCTTCTTTCCTTTCCCTACTCCCACTTTCCTACTCCTTTAGGCCTTTTCTTCCTATTTCACATTATCAATAATAACATTTAAACCTCATTTACACTTCTAGTTTTTCACACCAGAGAAATTTTTCGGCACTTACACATCGTTCACTCTTGATCACTGCAGCTACATACTAAGCTTGACATCAGGTAAAGTGATACCTCCCACTTCAGTCTCAGTTTCAAGTTTGTTTCAGTTATTCTAGGACATGTTTCTTTCCATATACATTTCAGAATAAGCATATCTTGTCTACAAAATATCTTCCTGGAATCTAGATAGGCATTGCATTAATCTTTGGATCAAATCATTAAAAAAGTATCATCACCGTGTTGGGTCCATCAGACAATGGACACTATCTTTCCATTTCTATTGTATTTATACCTTTCCTTTATGCAAGTCTTCTTTGACTCCTTTATTCTGCACTTTGTGAATTTCTTCATATAGATCCTCTATTTGTTATGTTGAGTTTATACTTGGCATTTTATCTTCTTTGAAAAGATCTGTTATGATACTGGCTTTGTAGATTTAATTTCTACATAGTCATAAGAAGAATAGAATGCAGTTGATTGTTTAGTGTTGACTTTGTATGATGTGACCTTGCCAAACTCACTTATTAATTCTGCAGGTTTATATCTTGTAGATTCATTGTGATTTTTTATGTAGACAGTCATGACAATGCCATTTTATGAGTATATGCATTTTGCATCAATTGGATTCTGAGGTCTTTGAGGCCTTTAGCACTGTGTGTGAAAGAGTAAGGGATTGCATAAAGAGTAAGGGATTGATATATATTTATGAATAAGTCCACAATCAGTACTGTTATCTGTGAATTGCAGATTTGTTTTTCTGTTTTAAAATTTTTCTTATTTACTGAAAGAGCTAATTAATGGTACATTTATCTACATGCCCAGACTCCTGTTTTCCTTGGGAGTGCAGTACACTTAATCTAGTTAGGACAATTCTCATTTATTTACACCTGCAAGAGAACAGTGTCTTAGTACAGATTGAAACTGGGATTTAATTAATGTCCTGACACAATACTTGGATGCTAACCTCTTTTCACTGCAGAGAAATGCCTATATATCTGATTTCATTTAGTCTTTAGAAGGTGCATAGCATTCTTGAAGCATTTTATTTTTCCTCTGACACAGGCAATAATTAAAGCTCTAGAAGCTGTGCACTGGCTCTTTTTCATAGTTCACTTGGCATTGCTTGGCTTCCTTCTCTGCTTATGGTTGGTGGAGGACTATCAGGAACTATTTTTTACGACCTGTACAACTTGTTTGTATTGCATACCATATTTTTCAAGCATAGATCGTCATTTTTGTGCAAGAAAACACTCTCTTTTTTCCAGTGTTTCGAAAATATAATTAATACTTGGCAGAATTCACAAATGGAAAAGCGAACAGATGAAAATGATGAGACTCCATGACTTAATATGCAAAGGAAGAAGTGAGAGCCTTGTCTGAATATAGGGCATGAGCTTGGAAGTGATTCACAAAGCCTAATATTTATTGTCCACTTTATTGAAGCTTCATATTCTGCAAATATGTGTGATCAGAAGTTAATATCTGATTTTTTCAAAGGAAAGACTGATGGCAGTAAATCTAAGGCATTCTTACAGTTTGCTAAGATCCTATTAATGTAATATGATATGTAGATAAATACAATAGGGAAATTGGGAATTTATAATGCAGAGGTTATACTCTGAGATATAAGAGTATAACCTTTTTCCTTTTAAGTACTTGGAACAATTGCCAAAAATTTATATATCAGGCCTTGAGGATAATACATAGGACAGTTCGGTCAGGCACGTGTTCATTGTGTCCTTCATAGATGGAAGATCAGTAGGGTACACTCAGTGTGCAGAGAGGCATACGATGTAGCTATTCCTCTGGGTGTGTTGAAACAGGTGTGTGACTCTGGATTATCTGGAAATGTAACTCAATGTCAAGTTCCAGGTATTTAGAATCTGAAATTTCAAGGATTCTCAAACTGAAATCTGGGATCAATAAAATCAGATTTTCTTAAGAAGAACTGACATTCATAGTAAGTAAAAGGAATCAAAAGGACAATGATCACTGTAGAATTTATTATTCTAGGCAAGCCAGATTCATTCACATAGAGCCACCCACTGGTCTCTCTGTGGGACTGGATCCCTCAAGTTCTTTCTATAGAATTGTGCCACATTTGCATAGAACTGAAAAAAATGTCCTTTTGTGTACTTGAAATCATCTCTAGACTCATTATAACCCCTAACAATGTAAATATTATGTGTGATAGTTAACTGTGTCAGCTTTAGTAAGAAGCATTAAACTAAATTGGGTCAGCATAGATTTGGGTGTGACTGGATGTTTTACTGAAGACAGAAAACCCACCCTGGGTGTGAGTGGTGCCAACCCACAGGCTTGTAGCCTGAATGAAATAAAAGGGAACTGAAGAAGGAACGATTACTTGTGTTTCTCTGGAGGGGCTCCAGTCTTCACTTTCACCTTGGATGTTGTCTCCCGGCTTCTGGTGCAGACTCTTCAGTCCCCAGCAGAAACTCCCTCAGCCTTCTGCGCAGACCCTTCAGCCTTGCACCACAGACCCATCGGCCTCCTGACTCGCACAGCACACTACACTGAGCTCCAGGCCTTCCCCTGGATTATTTGGATCTCCAGTGCTCAGGCAGACCTTTTGTACTCTTCCACACCTGACTGCAGGCAGCCATGGTAAGCCAATCTTGTAATTCTTATGTATTTGTATATCTTGTCTTAAATTTGTTTCTCTAGTAAGCACAGATTGATACACTATGGAAATAGTTGTCACACTGAATTGTTTAGGAAACTATAATAAGAAAAAAAATTTTGTATATGTTCAGTGACAGACGTGACTTTTTCCTCTGAACAATTTTGATTCATGGTTGGTAGAATCCTTAGATGTAGAACCCACAGATAAAAGAGGGCAGAGATACGTTTGAAACCTTTGTTGCAGGCACTTACACCAGTCATCACAGTATGTGGGAAAATAAGAGTAAAGCACTTTTCCATTCACTAGTTGTCATTTTTATGGTTGGGTCATTTTGCTGATTAATTCATCAAAAATAGTTCACTTTGTGATGGTTTTATTGGCCATGCTGAATATGAGCTCTCCTCATTAATGGGGCAAATGACTTTCGTTTCTGGGCACATAGAATGCTGTGAAAACACTGCACAGCTCCAGATGTGTTTAAATCTTTGTGGCTCTGTGTAACACCCACAAAAACTGAAGCAGAAGGAACAGCTCACCACTCATTTGCAGTAGGTGGAATTTGGTGTGATAGTCACAGAGATAGTCACAGTGCAGACCAGGGCCACCGACCTGGCTCCTAGCCCACCCATTTAGCAGCTGTGTGACAAGGGACAAATCCTTAACCTTTCTTTGCTTCAGTGTTTTCCTTGTCTGAAATAAAGTTATAACGATATTTACCACACAGTTGAAGCTGATTATGTGAGATAAAATATAAGCAAAACATCTAGGATAATCTGGAAGAAGAGATAGGAGTGTAGTGAGCAGTTAAAGAAGCAGACCCATTTCTGGAGGGACTCAGGGCAGCACCAGGAAGTTTTGGAACCTGCAAGGCAGTGAGGACAGCAGATGGCAGAAGGCAGGAGGCTGAGAGCTGGGAGGGATGAGGAGGAGGTGCGGTTCTGGATTGTCTTGTGATGATTGTAGCTTTCAGAAACAATGACATTTGGAGGACATTAAGACAGTAGAGGCCAGGTCTTATTTGAAGGATGAAGGAGAGAGTAAAACACTGTTTAAGATTTAAGATGTTAAATTAATTTCATTGGTACATTTTAGGTATACAATGTAATAACATTCATCATTGGAGATTTGTACCTTTACATATATATCAAGATGTATTTGTCCCCATTCCCCTGCCCTCCCTTCAAGCCCTCCACCCCTCTCTATTTACACCGACTTTGTTTCCATCTTTTCATTTTCTCATGTTAATTTCATTCCCTTCTTTCCTTTCCCTTACCCCTCCCACTTAAAAAATAGTAATTGCACTCAATGGAACTGGTAAATCATAATTTTATATGCTGTGTTCTCCCTTTTAGTAAATCACAACACATATATTTATAGTATTTATGGGCACATCCTATTTTAAATATTTTATTCTATGAAATTTCAAAATTTCCAAACAAATAAAACAAGTAATTGCATTGTAAAAACAATTCAATTGAAATGGAAACATTTTCTAAAATATTAAATATGTATGTATGTCTTGATTTCAGTTTCTAAAAAAAGATGTAAAACTGAATTTTAACAATATTTTCTTTATTTTTTCCTCTTGTAATTATTATTAGTTTATATATTGAAAAATGCATTGTGGATCGAAGATACTGTCCAGAGCCTATAAAACTTCCAAAGTTTTTAAACAAGATTTAAGATGCTAGAGAGGAAGAAAATTACTTTTTCAATAATGATTTAAAAAGACTTTTAGTTGCTGTTCTATTTTCAACATTTTAGTGAGAATATTTTCAAATACAATCAGAAGAATTGAGAGAAACTATGATTTCCTAGCTACCTATCATATGGCTTTGGCAATTATCAATATTTTCTGAAGCTTGTTTTCTCTATTATCCACACTGGAAAAAGTTGCTGAAGTAATGAATCAAATTCCATATACCCTAACTCATTCTCCTCATAAAAATGTACTATGCCTATCTAAAATAATATAGACCTTTGTTTCATGACTACAATTCTATCATCAGACCTAAAACATTAACATCAATTTTTCACTATTACCCACCCCTTATTTCATTTTTCTGAAATGTCTCAAAATGGCTTTTTGCATATAGCTCATTAGAATCAGAATAAATATAAAGTCAATCCATTGCACTGGGCTCTTATTTCTTTATAGTTTCTTTTCATCACTAACAATTATTTTCTGATCTACCTCCCCATTTACTTGTTGAAAACAAATCATTTTTATGCCAGAATGTCTCACATTCTGGATTTGGCCAAGTATTCCCTTCTTGCATTGTTCACTTTGTTCAGAAGCATTCATGGTGGTACCGATCCTGAGGTGATCATTTCTCTATCCCTAAGAAGCACAAAGAGAAAAACGTTATTGACATGGAAGGGGAGAAAGCTGTGAGTGTCAAATAGAAGGATTTAGACCTCTTCTGGACAGTGAGCTCATTGTAGAGATAAGGGTATGAGGCGCTGCGGCTAGGAGTTTGAATGCAAAAGAACTCGAGGCATGTGCCAGGAAACTGAGGTGCATAAAAGGTGCACCAAGGAACAATGTAAACCAAACTGGTTAATTAGCATTGCTTTGTGTGCAACTAATCAGCTTGTGTTCTTGGCTTTTTTCTTGTTATTTGGTGAACTTTGGGCACAGGGTTAAACCAGTATGGCTGAGTTGCAAGGTGAGTACACTTGAAGAATCAGGAATTAAGAGTGAGCCTAGGCAGAAGAGCGAAATGATTATGCTAGGAAGGAATTTGTGCTTGAAGGTTGATGGACTCAGAAAAAGAGGTGATGGGCCAGAGGACTCAAAGGAAGAAATGCAAAGCTAAGAAAACATGGTGGTGAGAAGGAGCGCTCACAGAACACCCGCTGGTGCTTATGAGACTGACAGGGGAGTGAAGTTATGGGTGGTTGATGCAAAGTTGGAAGGAGACAGGTGTGGGCAGTCCCAGGTCTGGGTCCGCTCCTGCCTTGCTCCCTAGAAGTGCTATGATCTCAGATATGTTATGAAATATTTCTGTGAAACTGAATTTCTGCTACTATAAAATGGGACTAAAAATCCATATCACATTAGGTTTAAGAATGCATGTGACACTGGGTACAGAGCCTCAGTGGCTATACCTTTACAGGCACCCGTGAAATATCTGCTGTTAAATTGGGGAAGGTCAGGACTGTGGGTGTAGTTCAGTGGCAGAGCCCTTGCTAGGTGGGGAGATCCAGAAAGTACAGGGCCGTGTGTTTTTGCATCCTGATAAAACAAACTCTGCTCATGGATTGCAGCCCATTACAAAGTCATTAGTACTCGTGGAGAGAAAGCACACAAAATTGATAACTTTAAACAACAATCGTCAGAGCCAAATCAAGCGATTGAAAATATAATAAAGCTTAAAAAACGATGGTGCTGTTTTTGTAGAGGTCCTCATACGTGTATCTGCCCATCCATGTCGTATCCATCTCTGTAACCACTCTATGTTTTAATACGTTCCAGACGGACGATCATTGTTTTGTAATCCCCTTTGATTTAGAACTGTGCAGTCGATAATTAGGTATTTCACTTGGGTGAGCCCAGATATTCATGAGTCTAATCAGGACTGCTTTTAGGTGAAACACACTGAACCAAGCCTGTTTCCAGATTCTGCTCTCATATCTCTGAGTATTCACAGCCTAGCGGAGAGATCCAGGAGTGTCTCATTGTGGGGAAATGTTGAATATTCACTATGTGTGGGGAGTCAGAGGAAGTGCCCCACTGCAAACAATCAGGTCTGACTAGGATAAACAGTTAATAGAACATTTTACAGAGAAGCTGGTTTTTGGCTACTGCCTAACTCTTAGGTAAGGGTTTGTAGGGAGTGATAAGATGAATCCAACAGTTTCCAGGTCAAGCATTTTTTTGGACAATATTGAAAGACCAATCTGCAAGCTTATGGATCTGAATGTAGCAGACAGTTGTCTCATTCATTTCACAAGTGGTCATGGTTGCCACTAAGTGAGTAGGGTGTGAATGAGGGGAGAGCTGGCTTGTTTGCAGGGCACACTGGGCCACCATGATGAGAAATGCTGGCAGGAGCTCATGTTTCAAGATGCGTGTGAGAATCTCCTGCTTGTGTTTTATCTTTGGATGTTACCATGGTTACTGATGGGAAGAAATGAAAACCAAAAGGTGGGGGGAAATAAGCAGATTAAGGAGAGGAAGAAATAGGGCAAACAATCTCAGTATCTGAGCATGCAGAAAATTTATTGTTGAAGGTCTCGATTGCCTGTCCAGCTGCATATGCTGTGTATTCAGACATACACCCTGAAAACCATTGCCTCTTTGACTAAGGCTCCAAAGAGGACTCCAGTGGAGACTTATCTGCTTGCTCTGGGCAAAGTTCTTCATATTTCTTATTGGGAGAAGTTGAGAAAGTTAGGAATTGTGGGGAAAAGCAAACATGATAGGTAGTGGCCCCGATGCTGCTCTGTAGCTACGGCCGCAGGTTTGGGATGTTTCCTTGCTGAGATGAGGAGGCCCTGCCACTTACGCTGGACATCTCTCTTCCTGGTAATTACCTTATCCACATGTACTTCTTTGTCATGTGTGAAGGTGTGTGTCACTTGGCACCTGGCCAAGCTCACTGCTTTATCTTCTCCCAATGAGGGAGGATAGGATCCTGTGCCTGTGGCACCAGTGCTGTGCATTCAAACCTGAGACCCTCTGCAGCTGTGCCAGGACCTGATGGCTGTGAGGGGCATGGACACCTGTCTTGGTCTGTGTCTCCATGTGTGTTCTATTTAGTGCCTGGGTGAGCTTTGTCTTTCTTGGAGACCCCGGCACCTACAAACCACATATAGAACTAGATTAGCATCCCGGGGCTGCTGGTTTTGATGGTAGATTATAGATGTCACTTCCTCAACAGGAATCTAGTTTTAAGTGTCGGCTTTGCACTTCCCAGCTATTAGCTTTGAGCAACTTATTTACCCTCCTGGAGTTCTGGTTTATCTACCT